ATGACCTAATTAGAGCAGTTTTACTGTGATTTACCTCACAAAACACAGGTTTGGTCATGATTTAAGAATTAATATGCTAATTATGGCACAAATGAAAACGGATCCCTCAAAGGTCAAGTTGAATGATTTTTGTATCCAAAAGATCAATGGTTAGCTCGACTGTGATGAGATGACGTTTCATAGAAACGTTATTTTCTATGAAACAAAACGTGTGTCCATATGCTAATTTGAGGTGCCCACCTTGAAATTGTGGTGATTGTACAGATCTTTTGTAGTATAGCAACGCATATTTGAAGGATTGTCTACACTCTGTTGCTTTATCAGTTGACTTTATTGGCGAGCATAAACAAGGAATTGCTAAATTCCTTCAAAGTTGAAGGACTGCAGTCTTTCCTAACAAATACTGTTTTTTTTCTCCATACAGGTGACCCCCCCCCTTCTCACCGTCTCTTCTCCCCTTTGGTTTTCTTTCTCTCCCTCTTTCTTTCATTCTTTCTCCCTGTCCTATCCCCCAGTCATGTCTGTCCCGTTTGTAGCAACTGAAAATAAAATAAATTCATAATTATAATAAAGGTCAATCAAATGGACCAATATGGCAAGGCCATGATGATCCACTTGGTAAAATAAATCCGCTTGGCATCTTTCTTGGCCTTAAAACAACAATTCTGATGGCTAAAGATCCAAACGGGACACAAAAAAAAAAAAAAAAAAAGAGAAAGTTGAACAATAAGAGCACAAGACAGTGAACAAATCAATCATTTTAAAATATGGTACTGGAGTTGAATTTGATCAAAACTATGGACAATTAAAGGACCAAGAAATCAAGCCAATAACATCTTTGGATGGACAAATAGCAAAGCGTCTACTTGGCTATTTCAGACACCAAATGAATCTGTACTCGTAAAAAGTCAGATCCTTTTAATGGTGTGGTGTAGGCTGTATCAGACTCCATATGTGAATAATTAATTTATTTGTTATTTATTTATTCAGGTTTAAATCAAGTGCATTTATCTTTGTTCTACAGCTCGTCTCCGAGGACTCCATGATGGGCTGTTCACAGGGCAGATTGATGCAGTAGACACCAGTGCCGCCACCTATCGTGTCACCTTTGACCGCACTGGCCTGGGAACTCACACTGTGCCTGATTATGAAGTCCTGGTAAACACTTTAACTTAACTCTCATAAAAGCTTCACTCTCAGTGTGATTTTGCCACACAGGAGAAGAAGAAGAAATGCCAATAGCTGTATCGTAGGAATTTCACAGGTCATATTATTAACCATCTTATTGTAATTTTCTTTTCCAGAGCAATGAACCTAATGAGACCATGCCCATTTCAGCCTTTGCCCAGAAGCATCGGTCAGCACGCTATATGCAAAGCCTCATGACTCCGCCTAGAGGGCCCTATCCCTCTGCTACCACTCCTGTCCATATGGTATTCTGAAACTACATTTACTACCATTTGTTGATTTGCTGACACGTTTGGCCATATTCGAGTTTTGTTTTTTCTTTTTTTTGTTGTTGTTTTCAAATAACTGCTTTGTTTGGCCTACTATACACTATACGTTTTATACATTAATGCTAATCAGTGGGTAGACTGAAGAATTCCAAGGTGGGCTAGTGGCGCAATCACTTAATTCCCCCTTAGAAGCTGATTCCTCTGTAAAAAAGCCAGTGAAACCTTTGCCGGACACCTTTTTCACAGCTGTGTATCTGTTTGCCCATCTAAAAACAGATTTCAAATGAAGATTGTTGATCTAACTGGCCTTTTTTTTAAACAACAGGACAATGACCCTCTTATCACCCAGTCACCATGGAGGAACAAACTGCCCGGTGCTGAAGGAGATACACTGGGAGGATTTCCTGTCAATTTCCTGGTCCAAGTGGTAAGGAATTCCTGTCAAATTGAAAACTAAAAAGGTGACGTCCTTCAATGTAGTTCTAATGCTTTGTCTTGTTTTTCTGTCCATTATTAGACAAGACTGTCCAAAATCCTCATGATCAAGAAAGAGCACATCAAGCACTTGAAAGAAATGAATACAGAAGCTGAGAAGCTGGTAAAGTCATTATAGTTAAGTTACTTTAAAACATGTTAAATGCTTCTGAAATATCCACATCAAGCTTACCTCAGCTATGTTTTTGTTTTGTGTTCAGAAGTCATACTCGATGCCTATTGATCTGGACTTCCAGAAGCGATATGCTACCACCGTGCTTGAGCTGGAGCAGCTAAATAAAGATCTGAACAAGGTTCTTCATGAAGTTCAGCAGTACTGCTGTGAAGTAAGTGAAAAGGCACGCTTACACTTAAACTTGAAATATTTTATTGCAGTATCTGATAATTCTAGCATGTTTTTTTTTTTTTTTTTTTCTTGTTAGTCAGGAACGAGTAAGGAAACAAATGAGTAAGAGAGCCTTGTGTTAAACATCAGTGTACATCTTTCCAGCTCGCTCCTGATCAGGGCATGGTTCCAGCAGACCATCCCACAGAGCTGCGGAGGCGTAGTGAAGAAGAGGCCCAGCAGATGGTGCAAATGCGCATCAACGCCATGAAGGATGGGCAGCAGAGTGTGGCAAATCCCAGCCTCACACACCTCATCTCCCGTCTCACTGCTCTGCTCCTACAGATCAAGGTAGAAGATGTATTTTTATCACAAGTGTGTCAGGATGATAGGAGAGGATGTTAGGATGTCACACTCTGTGTGCAAGAAAACAATTTGTTTGAAATTCAATGCAAAAATTTAGAGCTTCGCAGCAGTAATTTGTTAAGAAATGTTGAACTTCAAGTATATAATACAATATATGTTTTATCAATTAATCAGTAAATATAATATAATACATCCATGACTTCTGATTTGATTACCTGTTAATCATTCATTCTCCTGGCTTGTCTCAGTGTTTGGCAGATGGTGGGGATCTGAATTCATTTGAGTTTAAATCTCTAACAGACTCTCTCAATGACATCAAAGCATCGATTGATCCCTCCAACCTCAGGTAAAGGACCAAATAGTGTTTCCATCCATTTCTAACAAAAGAGCAAGAATGACTGTTTTTAAGACAAAACTGAATATTTTTCTCCTTTATTATCTGTGAATCTCAAAACTCCCAAAATAGTGTAACTGTTAAAACAGTATAATCTCATATTTCATGGCTTTTCCTAAAATAGGATAGTGCAGCTATGTGGTATAAAAATAAATAACTTTCTCATTAGTTTTACTGGAGTCATTTTGATTCCCACTGAAGTCTATGCAAACTGCTGCATGTTGCTGAGCAACACACAACATTTACACACTTTGATGTGAATGATAATGTAAAATGAGCCAGAGCTAGCTGCATGTGATTGACAGATAACTATTTAGGGCATTTGGTTAGATCAAAATATTTACAGCAGAGCTGAACAGGGTGGGATGTTGAGTGTATGGCAGGACATGTGGAGAACCGGGCAGGTTGTTGGCTGTGCCGAGCAGCATGGGAACCCTAGCTGAACTGATCACAGAGTCTAGACTGTGGAGACTATTCAGAGCAATTACAAAGTAAAAGTCAGAGTAAGAGAGCAGAACTGAGGAGGGCTGCAGTTCTTTTACAATAATTAATTTACTAAAATTGGTTTGTTTTAGCTAGCTGCAAAGTTTGTTTATAATGTAGGCAGTGACCTGTCAATTTCAAAGCGAGGCTATTCTTTTTATACACACTTTATTTTAACTAATACAACATGTATTCTGAAATTTCCAAAATAATTTTGATGTGTTATGGTGTTGTTTGTTGTATCATTTGCTTATTGGTGGATTTCTAAGATATATGATGAAATAACAAATTACAATTATCTGCAATCTGTTTAGTGGTTCATACATTTGCTGAACAAGCAAAAGTTGCTGATGTTGCAGGACCACCTGGTTGTTCCGTTGTTAACTGTTCTTCATAACTTTGGTTATTTTTCTGCATTTCCAGTTGCTTCCAGAATAACGTTGAGATCCATGTGGCACACATCCAGAGTGGCCTTAGTCAGCTGGGCAATTTGCATGCATTCGCTGCCAACAACACCAATGCAGTCTGAGTACCTGCATCGTCCCGCCCACGCACAGGTGCATGTACACACACGGAAGTGCGGTATATCCATGTTTGTCTTGTGAAATGGTGCTTTTACCTGGACTGTTAAAAGACTACAAAGAAGGCTCATGTCGATGCTGTGGATCTTCAATTTGAGTTCTTCCCAGATTTCCTCAAGTTTTGATCGGAATGGAGAGAAGAATGCTGAATATTTTACCCACAAGCTTTTGTTGTATCAAAATGTTTGTGCACCCAACTGAATGAACACAAACCCGAAAGAGTCTTAAAGCTTTTTGCCACGCTCCACATTTCCAAAATATTAAAACTGTTATTTATTTGGTTTCACGTGCCAAACATAAGGTTTTAACAGTTTTTATTGCCCGTATTTATTTATTTTTGAGTAGGTGTGTATGGTTATGCAACAATATTTTGCTATTTCTGATGTTTCCCTCTAAGTTGTGTGTTCTGTTGCTCCTTTAATGATAAGTACAGGGGAACGCGAAGGAATGTTTTATAATTAAAAAGTTATTGTAGATAATTGTACAATATCTGATTATTAGGAATATTGTCAGCCTTTCTGCTGTGTATTCTGAAATGGCTTTTGTAATTTTGTGCGCACTGAAGAGTTTTTTTTTCTTTTCAGTATTTTTTTATAAAGGAGAACTCTGGGGTTTTGATCTTAAGTGTTTCCATATTTTACATCGGCTGTTGCTGCAACACCCCCCACACTAAGTCTGCATCACTGACCTTTAAACCCCATCAACAGTTCTTTCCTAGAGATTCTCCTTTTTTTTCAGTTTTTGTAAAGTTGTATATGAGAGTGCCCCCAGGCAGTTGTATATAAATGTTTGTCTTTTTATATTAAACATAATATTGAAAAGCAGGTTTTGGCTTTGTTTCATTTATTAACAAACAAACAAATTCATACAAAACAAATGTCTTTTTTTTATATATAGTTTTAAAATAAATACACTCTCACACCTCTTATGATACATGTAGCTTTTGTAATGCATCACATAAAGCCACTGAAGTTTGCCATTGCTTCATTTTCCCAATCAGAATCCGAGTCGGAGAAGTCCTGCATCTTTCTGGCGGGAATCTGGGAAAAGTGATCGAACCTGTCCCCGCTGGCCCTCGCCTGCGGATACTGCATTTGGCATCTGTTGTCCTTAGATGATGATGGTGTGCTGAAGGGGTTCTGCATTGGGATGGGAGGAATCACAACTTTCATCTCTGGTCCAATGGTTTTGTTTGGTGGGAAATTGTCATACTCCACCAAAACCTTTGGAGCTTGGCTGTTGGTCATGTTGGCGTCCATGTTTGTCTGGTGCTCTCTCCTGGGATAGAGAGGGATGCTGCAGCTCGAAGTGCCAGCACTCTGCTTGTGTCGCTGCATGTGTTCTGGATTCATTCTGGCGCCCTCCTTGTCATAGATGCGGGAGGCAGATGCTTGGGCGTAGCTGCTGGGTTTGCTTGGAAGAGTGTTCCTGTGGGTGTCCTCGATGCCTTGTAGGTGCACTGTAGACCTGAAACTTTCCTCTAGTCCAAAACCACCCATCTGATGTACTTCAGCACTGTGAAGATTGTCACAAACTGCAATGGAGAGGGGGGAAAAAAACAAAACTAAGCAACATGTTTTAGAATGTAGAAAAAAGAAGCCACAAACTTGAAGTTAAAACTACAATGAGTGACACTGAGCAGGCTTGACCTGATGTTAGAGTGAGGATGTGACCACAAAACTAGTGAGTAAAGCTAATAGCTACCTTTTTCCGGAGCCATCCTGTTCTGGACTTGGATAAAGGGACCAGCTGCTGGCGTGCTGCTGACCTTTGTGGACGTTGATGAGCTAACCTGGCGACGAGACTTGGCCCTTCTGTTCTGAAACCACACCTACAATTTTGGAAATCCGTTAATTCACATCTTACCACTCCATAAATCCAATTTTACCACAAGTGTGGAGTAGCGAGAGTTTCCTGTGATCTTAAGTGACTGTGTTTGCCCTTTGACCATGCAAAATAAATCAACCAGTTCAACAAAGTGTGGCGTTTAAACCGGACTTCACCTGAATTCTGGACTCCGGCAGCCCAGTCAGAGCCTCCAGTCTCTCCCGTAGGAAGATGTCGGGATATTTAGTGTCGTTGTAAACTTTCTCCAGCACCTTGATTTGCTGTTGGGTGAAATTGGTCCTCTTTCTCCTGTGGGTCAGCATTGCCACGCATTTGTCCGCCCTGGGAACAGGATTTGCGGGGTTGAAGTAGTTTCCACCGTCCGGAGGTCCACATTCTGAAAAGAAGACGCAGGCGCAATTTAGTTATCATTGCGTAAGTTGAGCTCTGATGCAGCTGTTAGGCCGGTGTTGTGCCAAAAAGTGATTGCCTGCCAAAAAGTGATTTCCAATGTTTCCGTGTATTTTTTATGTGTAATATCTTTACGTATGTTGGTAAATAGACTTCGGTGAACAGCGTTTACAAAGGGGTTATATATAGAATTAAAAGATTATCTGTTTTTTCAAGTATCTTTATAACTCTGTGTTATTGTACTCACATTATAACCAATCCGGTCCTTTTCCCCCACTTACAATATTTTTACTGAACTATTGTAATATTTGCTGCCATTTCTGCTGTCTTACTCTTACAAAAGACATTTTTAATGTTAATGAGATTTTTTTTAACTGCATAAATAAAGGTTCTATAAAAGTCGCTGCCAAAAACTGATTGCGGCTTCTACCTTGTTACACGAATGTTGTTTGTGGCTCAATATGACTTTGTGTCATCCATGAGGGATGCATTTGACATATGTTTCACATATTATAGGCCATCAAGTTACTTATAGCAGTTTAAATACGAGCAATCAGTTTTTGGCAAATACCGGAAATCAGTTTTTGGCAGACAATCACTTTTTGGCACAACACCGGTATTTGAAAATTAACTTTTTGTTGGGGTTAATGATCCCAGAGCCACCAACCTGGATTCACGGCGTTGTTCATCTGCAGAGGCCCTTCGTGATACATGTGGAACTGGTTCGCCTCCCCGACGCGCATATTCCCCTGAACTGCAGACATCCTTTCCGCTTTATCCCCGGTGACTGACTGACTGAGCTTGAGATCCGTGCGCTCGCCGGATTTAAATCCTCCTGTGATCAAAGGTAAAGCTGTCTAGATGTGTGAATGGGTCTGCCATCGGGGCCGACCGGCACTGCAGCGGCCGTGCAGCAACTTCAGACGTCTGCGGGCCAGCAGAGGTGTGAAGCAATCACACCTGGAACGATGGTCCGGCCGCAGGTCTGTTTAAAGGAGTTTTAATGGAATCTGCACGCTCAATACACATCGGCAGAGAAAACATTTATCCGCTTTGGCATGGATGAAGCAATAATGGACCCTCAGCCTTCAAAGGGAGAAAGACGGAAACGGCAATTTCCCAAAAAAGGTGGAGGAGTTCAAAGGACTATACCAGGACGCTGTGAGAAAACAGATATAAGCGCAAGCATTAGGTTTTTATTATTATTAATCTAACTCAAAACAGGGCATGATTTAATAATTATGTATACCCAACAAGACTGGCTCTTTATACAGGTTATTCTGCATCATGCCAGCATCCCAGAGTATCCCAAAGCCTAAAAACCAACAACAACAAAAACAAAACAAAGCTGTCAATAAAATCTGAAACTGCAGAAACGACTGTTAAAAGGATGACTTCTTACACCATATAAAAACCCTTTTGTTAGATGGCAAAACATTTATTGCCATCTATAACTGCTATTGAAGAATTTTCCTGGCAGTAAACCTCATTGAAGTGAATTTGCTGTTATATGTGGCATTAGTTTTGCTTCAGTGACAGTAAGAACAACCAGTTCTGCAACAGACCTTTAGTCCAAGTATAGAGCCCTGATCTCAACCTTAAGGAGTCCTTCTAGAATGTTGTGAACTCTCAAGTCATTAAGCCTTTGCATGTTATCAGATGATGTAACCACAGACTGTGGGACTTTTTCAAGTTGTTTTTTTTTTTTTTTTTTAAAAAAAACCTTTTAAACCCTAATAACTGACAAAATATTGAATTGTCCACATCTGTCAGGAAGGTTATAAGCTATGTTTGGAGGTAAAAGAAAGCATAGATTTTCCATGACTTGCCCCCTCACACAAGCCTTACTTTGTGGGAAATGATGCCTCCTGAGCCTTATCAGTGTCAACAAAGTGGATTTCAATACACAAACCACGGTTAAAAAGTACTTGGGAGCGGGCAGGTCTTATTGAATATGTCACCTCCGTTTGATTCAGAGGGGGGATTGGGTCAAGAGGTCAGGAAGCCCTCCCTCCCCAAAGACAGACTAAACAATTTTGTGCCTCGTGCTCCACTTTTTTGCCTGCAGATTGAATTCTGCACTATGCTATGATCTGACAATGCAACAATTTCCAGATTCCTTGCAATATTTCCTCTCACAGATTTTACAGGATACAGAGCTTACTGGGTTAAGTCATCTGGGGAGTGTAGTGCAAATTTGGCAATGTGTTTGTCAGCGTTTAAAATAGAGCATGCATTGTTTACTCTTGGGGAGTACCTACAACACTCCTTGACAGGCCAAAATTTTAGGTGATTCTTCATATGTTAATCCGTACTCTTGATGGAGGTGCAGGGTCCTTTATTAATGAACATCTGCAACAATGACGGACCACCAGGGGACTCTGACATAACACATGCTCTGCTCCCTTTTTTAAATGTACTTTGATCATTTTAAGTCCATGTTTACTTGTGTGTGCATATTTAATGTGTGTCTTTTTTTGTTTCCGCGGCGTAACGGTAATCTTAACCTTTTTGATCTCTGTACTTCGACACTTACTTTTGTTCAAATAGGATTTGCTTGTTGGCTAAAGCATTCACAGTTCATAGGGTGCTTTGTCTGGGGGCCCTAATGGGGTATTGCCCCTTGTGCACAGACCAGATTGCTATGCTAAAAATCTGGGTCCTCAAGTTCTTGATGTTTTGTGACATTCTTCTGATGGACCTGGAGATCATAGCATGGACAATTTATTTATTTATTGTTATTGTTTTTTTTTTTTGTTTTTTTTTTTGTTTTGCATTGATTTGTGATGACAAGCCATGGTAGATTAAAAATGCTAACCTAGTACAGCAACTGCATGAAAATTCCTTTCAGCTTTACCTTAGCTGTTGTGGTATGTTATATAGTTTGTTTAGTTTGGCAACCTATGACAGACACTGGGCACTGTAATTAGATTAAAAAGCAGATCTAATTTGATTGATACTGATAAGATGTAGTTATCAGGCTGGACTACAAGCAAACACTGGACTAAATTCTTGTGGGGGATTAATACTGCTGCTCCTGTAGCCCCCAAACAAAAGCAAGTTCACACCTGGGCCAGGCCACTATACATTTACCCTGCAGACAGACAGGCAAAGTATTCTCACAGGTTTTCAGCAATGTGTTAAAATGTCACCTGTCTAATGGGCCCTTGTTATAATGTATTTCAGTACAATATTTGTGTATTTGAAGGATAATTTAAGGAGCTGGAGAGCATGTGCTCATTCAAAATGTGCATAAGTATTATCCAAAGCTTAGGCCAAGTCTTACTGTCAATGTACCTCACCTGGGCAAATGCAGCAACCATCATTAGCTAATTACAAATAAAACATCGGGGACATTAGTATAGCATAGTATATATAGTTCTCCAGGCTTTATGAAGGTTTTTTAAAGTTTTTCTTTGGACATTGCCTGCTTTTTCATTAATTTTCTGTCCAGTCCTTGTAACTGATCATTTTCAGGGGGATAGTTCTTTTTGTTTGTTTGTTAAGTCACTTTACACTGACCTGTGAATCATTCCAACATAATAAAAAGGCCCCTAAGTCAAGTATTATTGCACTATTCCCAAAGAACTATTAACCGAAAATATGGCATATTCCAGCATGGTGTGCAGTGTGTTTTGAAAACTAAAAAACAAAACAAAACTGGGAAGCATCCGATTGGCAATGGCTTTTTCAGCATGATGATCCCAAACACACTGCCAGTGCAGTAAAAAGCATACCCGGATAGCTCCTCACATCCAAAGAAGAGATCTGAATGTTCCTCAAGAAGCCTGGAGAACTATTCCCAAAGACTTTTTAAAGACATTCCAAGAAAGCTTGACAAAGTGAGTTCAAAATGTGTTGAAGAATAGGGATGATCATACCGGTTATTGACATTGATAGATTGTATCTTTATTTTGAACATGTTGAAAAAGTACAACAACATAGAATTAAAAGAGACAAATAAACAAAGCAAAACAAAAGGAAAACGAGCAACCACAACTACAAATAACCTTCATGTTCAAAAAGGAGCAGGAAGAAGCATAAGCTTATAAAATCGTTATATGGAAAACATGGAAAATCGATTAAAAAAAAGACAATTTATCCATTGCATATTTTAAAATACATGTTAATTTTTATATGTGTCCGTTAGTGTACGTGACGGTTAATAAAATGCTGGGGGGGGTTTGTTTGTTTTTGGGCAAGTCTTTTTATCTGTTGGTAAGACCTCGTCATTATTTACATCGGTGAGGGGAGAGAAAACAACCGGAACTTCCGCTAGATTGAAACGGAAGTAGGTACGTGGCTGCTTCAGCTGACAGTCTACATGATGGCGACAGAGGTTCAGAGCGGCGACCTCGACAGCGCTACTTCTAGCCGGCTCGAAGTTTCCATCGATGGCCTCACCCTCACTCCGGACCCGGAGGGCGAGCAGAGCCAGGCCGAAGAACCGGAGTCCATACCCACGGAACCCAGCACAGATAAGCCGGGCGGCGCTGAAGGCGAAGATGGAGAGACTGCCAAATGTGCGATAGAGAGGAAATGGGGCTTTCCTCTGCTGGAGCTGTACGGAATGGCCCTTAAATTTTTTAAAGGTACTTCATGTTTGTTTCAATCCCCAAGCGGTGAGAAAGCTGCTCGAACAGTTTAAAGTGTGGCGCTCGCTGGTTCAGGCTAGCAGGTTGCTAGCATTAGCTGCTAGCTGTCACCACCGGGACTGGTGCTACTGCTGTCAGCCTCGGTGTTACATTAGCTTCACGGCTAACTAGTATCTAACGCTGCTGGCCGTTAAAGGGTAAAACAACCACGGCACTTGTGAGTGGCCCCTTTGTGTCAGCTGATTTGCCACTGTTGTCTCCTTTCTGGGTTTTTGTCTTTGCACCAAAGAGGAGTGACTATACTTATTACCAGTTTGCATATTTCTATGCATGCTTCCTCCACCAAACGAGGAAGATTTCCATTCCAATTGAATGACAGCTTGTTCTGGGATGTGTTCAGGAGCTTTTAAACACGCTCTCCCTCTGCTGTGACTGAAGCGGGACTGCATCAGGTGGCAGCTGCCCTCAAAGATTTTTCCTCCCAAAGTACTCAATGACAAGTTCCTGCTGTGCTGGAGGAATTATTATTCTGAGGATACAACTGCTGCATAGTTTTAGCTCGCCGCCCCTAAAAGCAGTTAACCACGTTTTCAGTCTATGGGGGGGTTTATGTGACGGCTTGACTGTTTTTACACCTGCCCTTTCATATCACTCCTATGTTGCTACTACTTGTAGTACTACTTTTATGTGTGCTCTGGGAGCCATTTTTAGGCCTTCTGGACATGCTGGGGTGGATTTAAAGCATATTGAAATACCCTAAGTAGTTGAATAATTGGAAAAGAAATTGTGATATGTGTGGCTATATTCTGCAGCCTGACCATTCTAGCTAGTTCTATATGTCTGCTTTACAAAAAGCCACAAATCCTGCAAAATACTGTGTCCATACTTTCCAGTCATCGTACACAAGTGTAAGCTGCATTGAACACTGGGCATTTGTGCTGTTTGTATTATGGCAGAACACTTGTGATGACTGTGCAAACAGGTCGGGGCCTGGCTGCCACTCTGTGTGATAGTAATCTGGGCTTTGTATCCCTGTCAGTGTGTCAGACAGGGTTAGGTCTACTTGCTCAACTTGCTCAACTCAGCTGCCTAAATCTCCCTTTTGCCTCACCTTAAATCAAGCTTTAGGTATGACTAATGTCATCTCAGTGTTTCATTCTTAATGATTT